TTGTCTTACAGTTGGAATACGGCATTTTAAGTTATACATCTTAGCATCCACTTTTTAAGGTCTCTTAGACCGTTTCTTACGCAGATTTACTTATGGTCCAAGTTTCTAAGGCATGAAGGATAGTGGATAGCAAGTAGCATTTTGAGTGTTTTCCTTTTTGTTACAAGCTTTATCTTTTTGTTAGAAATCTCATCAGCCCACCCCTACCCGACCAATCCAAAAGCTAAATTTTGAATTTTCACTACCTCTAGAAAGTCTTCAAACGTTGTCACCTTCTGAATCTATAGCCATCTTTCCCACATGTTGTGATAGCCCATGTGCTTTTTGGGGAAGAATAACTTGTGTTGGGTGATTGTCCTTTTAAGAACTAGGTTTCTTTTTGGATAATGTCAATGTAATGCACCTGGCTTCCAATAAACAGTCACGTGACCCAGCTTCCCTGGAGATTAATACTGTAGAGAAAAGGTGAACCAGAAGTTAATTATATGGGTGAGTAGGTGCCTGGGTGTGGCTCTGGTCTCCAGCAGGGTTTAGATTTTTCTTTAAAATCAAGCTGAGGACAGAGACCATATCTTTTAGCAGCATTCATCTGAAATACTGTAAGGCTCGTTAGTAGAAGAATTCCACCTAACAGTGAGTTAAACTTTTGGGATAGCCAAAGCTGAGAAGAGGGAAAAGAAAGTTTTAAATGTAAGACTCCAGAACGATAGAACCAATGTCTATGTTTAAAATACAATGACATGTTGAACGGGGAGTCTACATCTGGAATGTTGGTGGGGATCTGAAGGAATAACCTTTCTGAAATGAGTGGAAAAAAACCCAAGAAACTTTAGCCTTTGAACACATCTTTGAAACAGGACTAGACAAGTGGTTTATTATCCAATTTTTAATAAAAACCTGATAAGTCAATGGGCATAGAATAAAAAGTGAATTTAAGTTGAGTTTAAAATAGAAGTACCTGTATTTTAAAATTTTTTTATGGTAAAAGGCTTTTAAGGAAGGGTGAGTTGTTTTTATAATTTGTGGATAACATTAAAATGTTTAAGACTCTCCAATTAGATTTTTAACACTTCCATAGCACTGATATTGTCCTTCAAAGTCACAAATCCAATTATTCTGCTCACTTTAAACACTTTTCTAAACTTTCTTGACTTGTCTACAGCCTTTGCAGTTTACCACACTGCCCTCCAACACAACTTCATTTGGCTGGATCTGCCATTCCCTGTGCAGCTGTAACTAAATAATCACCTATAAGGACTTTTCTTCCCACTCCAACACTGTCACCTCCTGGAATCACTGAAGGATCGATCCTTGGCCCCTTTGTATTTCTCATCTACATGTTGCCACTTAGCAACATAATCTAAAAACATATCCAGCTCTCTTCTACTTTCACCTGTGTCACATTATTGTGTAACATCCATTACTGAATGAGCATCGATATTAGAAAACCGAGGGGAGGGGAAAAAAGACTTTTGCCTTTAACACAAACTCCATGCTGAGCTGTTGCCTGCATCCTTCTCCCGGCCTACTGCATGATGCTAAAACAAATCACTTAACAATTGTGCCTTATTTGATTTTGGAGCTGAGCTTTCAACCCCAAATAATCTCTTGTCCCATCTGTGCAGCATCACCCATCTCCCCACTTCAATTATCTGTTGATGAACCCTAATTCCTCATTGTTTCTTCTTTAACCGCTTTTAATCAGTGTCTTCTGATCTCAAAACTACTGCCAAAAGGAACTGTTTTCTCCCCATGTAATCTGTTCAGACCCTTTGTGATTTCAAGTACCTTATCCAATTTCCTAATTTCCCTTTGTCAAAGAAGAACAAACCAACTTCTCCAATCTATCCTGGGATAGTGTAAGCTTCAGAAGTTTAATAACTCTTCATGAATTGAAAGAAGCAGTAATAACTCTGTCTAGAATAAACTGTTAAGGACAAACTGTTATACAGGAATTGAAAGCAATTAGCTATGCCTGGGAAAAGGAGGAATTGATGTTACATGAACAAAATTGTTTTAACACCTGCTTGATAACTGGCTGCCTTATGCCACAAGAACAAATGATTACTCTGCAGAAGAATTTAAGGAGTTAATTGCAGAAAAGCTGTGTCTTCAAACAAACAGTCAATGCCAAATGTAACAAGGAACAGGAAAGCTACTTCTGATAAGGAGGCAAGCTGCAGGCTTGATAGCTCCAGAGGGGTGTCCTTAGAATGCCTACCATACAGATAGAGGCCATTCAGCCCATCACATCCCACCCTATTCCCATAGTCCCACATTTACCATGGCTAATCCACCTAGCCTGCACAACCCTGGACACCATAAGCCAGTTTCGCTAGCCAATCCACCTAACCTGCACATCTTTGGACTGTGGGAGGAAACCCAGGTCCCAATGCCAATGATAGTCACTATGCTGCCTCAAGTAGTCAATATTTTGGATGAAAGAATCTAAAGGATCATTAATAATATCACACCAAAACTTGAAGAACAGAAAGCTGACCAAAAAATTCAACTCCAGGATTCTTCAGCAGCACAATTTCTAAGAACAAGACTGCACAAAGATTGAACGCAGGACATTCAGGGACAGACACTGTTAGGTGGAATTGTAGCTAAATTCCACCATTAATCAGGTAACAGCCAAGTTAAGTTGTGAGGCTTAACTTGCTTACTTGTGGGGTCTTATTTTGGTTGCTACATGCAACAAACGTTAAATAATTGCTTCACTATTTGTCTGTGAGATTTCTTAATAAGTAGCTGAGTTAGAAGTAGCGTGTGATAATTTACACACAACAATCCACATAACTGAATTACCTCATTCCTGGAACGATTCATGTGTATCTTCATAAATACTTTTATTTAGGAAGCACGGGTCCCTATCTGCCTAGCCTTGACATCCCTAAATGTTTTTTTAACTTAACTTTTAGAGTGCCTGCTCATTCAGGTGCAGTCCCAGCAAGCGGTGGTGCTGTTGAGCTATCTTCATTATGACAGCAGTCCCAGGCATATGGCTACTGGGGGAGGGATATTCCTTTAATGGGTCTTGCTATCAACTGAAGGAGGCTCACCTCCAACATGGAATACCTATATTTAATCCATTCCAATTATTGCTGGCATGGTCTTTAACTCTCTCTTCAGTGGGAACAACGTTCTAATTCTGGCATGTAGGATTGATTTAAATACACGAAAAAATGTGTTGCGTGCAATGAGTGATTCTATTGATTAAACCTGAGTAGAAGCTCACGTTGAAATAGTAAGAACTGCCAATGCTGGAGTCAGAGATAAGTGTGGAGCTAGAGGAACACAGCAGGCCTGGCAGCGTCAGAGGAGCAGGAAAGTTAACGTTTCTGGTCGGGACTCTTCAGAAAATTTTCTGAATTCACGCTATCTCCAATTCAGCTACTTATTAAGAAATCTCGCAGACAAATAGTGAAGCAATTATTTAAAATTTATTGCATATAGCAACCAAAATAAGACCCCTCAAGTAAACAAAATTTTCTGAAGGGTCCCGACCCGAAACGTCAGCTTTCCTGCTCCTTTGATGCTGCCTGGCCTGCTGTGTTCATCCAGCTCCACATTGTGTTATTTCCTAGAAGCTCACGTTTTATAAGTTTACAGCAGGTGGCGTATTTTAGCTGGAGTTTGAAACAACGAATTTTTTTTAAAAAAACTATTGCTCTCATAAACAGGAAGATTATTCGGTACAGGATTAATACAATAACGGCGGCCGCTAGTGTCCGGAATTTAGTTGTGTCTCACCCTTCCTAAGATTTCGAGTTCCATTTGAATGTATGTTTCGGCAGTTACCCAACCAAATTGTGCAAACGGAAGGCTGAAGGAAAACCGGTCGACAGCCATTGGGTTTGTTTAGCAGGTGTCTTTTCAATGATAACGAGGTGTAGAGCTGAATGAACACAACAGGCCAAGCAGCATCAGAGGAGCAGGAAGGCTGACGTTTCGGGCCTAGACCCTTCTTCAGAAAATGTCTTTTCAATGATGTTGTGACCAATTTGTCTAAAGAAAACTTTGTCTGGCTACTCGCCATTTTTTTTTCTTTTAAACAATCTGAGGACACAAATATCCTGTCAGAATAATCTTTACTGACGTTTTTAATATTTTCTCTGAAAAGTTCATTTTAACATTATGACTGAGGCAGATTTAGATTTGAGGTTTATTCAATGATATCCATCCCCAGGAAACTGGTCCAATCCCTTCAGACCATCAGTGAATATTTAGTAAAGAAATGTAGTTTATTCATCTTATTTCTAGAATTCAATGAAGAGACAATACCATCTTTAATGAAACGGAACATGGAAACCGTTTGAGCCACACATTATCCTATTACCATCCTTGCTTAGTTCTAAAAGAGTTCGACTGGACTTGAAACGTTGAATCTATTTGTCTCCAAGGTGCAGCCAGAGCTGAATTTCTCTAGGTTTTTTAAAAATTTAGTTACAATTAGGTGTCAACAAGTGATTGCTCTGCTTGTTTTATAGTATGTCGTTGGAAGTTAAGATTATGATTATGATTAAAGATGTTATTCACGCAAAACCAGCTCCCCTGGGTGCGGCATGTTGTTCATATGACTAATAGCAGACGCCTGAAGGTACTTGGAACTTGGTCAGCGGAAACGCTTTGGGGATGTCCTGCTAACATTCCCTGCCAACTCATGGGAGAACGTGGCCTAGGGTAACCAACTGTCTGATTAAGTTTCTCACTGGAGATCTTATCACATGACTTGCTCCCACACTTCAGTCACTAGCGCATTTTTGCCTACTGCTGCATGTGGAAGACGAAAAGACCCGTTACCCGGTGGGGATGATATTTGACTGTCAACCAAAAAAAGTTTTTCCAATTTGAATTTTGTTTATATCTGGTAAACAGAAATGTTAAAAGAATCAAACCTTTAAAAAAAAAACGGCACGGAAAGAGTCCACCGCGAAACAACAGAAAAACAAATCCCGTTCTAAATGACCCCGTGCTTGTTTTCGTTTTGTTTCCAGTGTTGCACACATTTGCTGGAGATTCCCGGCCAGTCCTAAAGGTTGGGAACCCCACTGTGAGCGGTGACCCACCAAAACGGGGAAGGCTCATTCGGTAACACGACGAACACATCAAGGGATTTCTCCCAGAAATGAAGAAGGAACACTGGGAGCGGGAAACAAACCTCTGGAAGAACCCAACTCTTCCAGCACAATGGGGTTTATCAGCCGTCTCGGAGACCCTGAGTAGCAGGAAATGATTCTCAATCCCGAGCGATGGCAGGGGGGAAAAATGAATAGTTTAGCGAACATTGGTGCTTGCTGCAATCCAGGTAAGGATGTGACTGCTCCCAGTCTTTCCGAAATCAAGTGCCACGGCCTGGGCTCACTCAGAACGAGAAGTGAACGCTCACGGGTTGACGTGAGGCTGCCCAGTTGGGAGGCGTGTCTGCTGAACAGGAGTGTCCTCCTGATCCGTGAACACCTCCCCAGACACTCAGATCAACGTCCTTCCGGACAGTTAAGGGCAAGGCTGCCTCACATCGCCCCAAAATGCTCGCTGTTGAAACGAGACGGACGCACGGGTTCTTCTAAGAGCGGATAAACTAATGCAATCAGGAAGCCAGCGTTTTTCCGGCGGAGAGTTGAGGTGATCGTACAGCAGCCCGGTACCATCAGCAGATGCCTCGCCAAATGTCACGTTTCTAGGACATAACTGTGAACTAAGGGGAAGGGGAAAAAACTGAATCTTATCTTTAGAGAATCAGTCATCAAATAAGATGGCTATGGAAAATGGTCATAATCTTAAAGCTGCCGGCGCGGATGGAAAAGAACTGAAAATTGTGATAGTGGGAGATGGTGGCTGTGGGAAGACCTCGCTACTTATGGTGTTTGCCAAAGGAGACTTCCCAGAAGTAAGTTGAATGAACATAACGATAACGCCCATTTTAAAAAAAACGAATGTAGCGTGTTCAGAGTTTAGCTGCGAGAGTCCAATTTCTATTTAGACTCACCGTCTGTACAATTGGATTTGCTACTTGGAGTAAATATATTCTTCATTTAAAGTGGCGTAATTTGGCAGAATGCTGTTCCTAAAAAATTGGAATTACCGTCATACATTCATCATAGAAGCAAAACCTATAGTATCTTCTTTATATAGAGTATATCCTTGCAAGGTTGTAAGAGGGACAGAGAACAGTTAAGTGTTCCAGCGATATAAAGCTGTTAATTTTATCTGTGGTGTATAGACGAGGGCATGGCCACGCTGCGTAATTGTGTCACCTTCTGTGATATTGATGGATCAGCATTTAGTATCTCCCTGCAACGGTCTGGGACTCAGAAAAAGATAGGCTGCGGTGAATGTGAAAATGAAATGCGGGAAGGAGGGAAGGGGAAAAAAGAGCAGGGATATCATAACGAAACTTAACGATCGGGCCTGAATCAAATTTACAAGAAATTCTAGGTGGCCTCATTCGCACTGTTCGCTAGTCTGCTGACCCAAAAATATTGTTGTGGGGATCACTGTACATGTTGATAGTGTAAATGTGTCTATTATACTTTTGTTGTTACTTACTAAACATACTGCAATATAAATAGGCTAAGCATAACTAAAGGAGCTTCTCCCTTTTAGGAGGAAGTGCCTGATGGTAGAAGATTTTTTTTAAAGTTTTTTTTTTAAAATGCCTATATTTGCTCATGGGAAAACGCTGGTAAGCAATGTTACTGAAGCTATCTACAGAACAGATTGAGACTATATTCTCACCTTTCCCTGAGTGGAATCTTTATGAGCGTGAACAGTGCAAACTAGATAACGTGTTGGATGAATAATATAGACAAAGTGGACTCCTTGGAGGACATGTCCATCCTGGGCCGCCTCCAGTGCCACAACGATGCCACCCGAAGTTGCAAGAACAGCACCTCATATTTCGCTTGGGAACCCTGCAGCCCAATGGTATCAATGTGGCCTTCACAAGCTGCAAAATCTAACCACCCCCGACCGCATCCCAAAACCAGCCCAGCTCGTCCCCGCCTCCCTAACCGGTCCATCCTTTCTCCCACCTATCCACACCACCTACCTCCTACCTCCTACCTATCAGCCTCATCCCCACCTCCTTGACCTGTCCATCTTCCCTGGACTGACCTACCCCCACCCTACCTCCCCACCTACACTCACCTTTGCTGGCTCCATCTCCACCTCCTTGACCTGTCTGTCTCCTCTCCACCTATCTGCTTGTTTCTCCATCTTTCATCTGCCTCCCCTCTCTCTATTTATTTCAGAATCCCCTTCCCCTTCTCTATTTCTGAAGAAGGGTCCACACTAGAAACGTCAGCTTTCCTGCTCCTCTGATGCTGCTTGGCCTGCTGTGTTCATCCAGCTCTACACCTTGTTATTTCATTATACAAAGTGGGGTTTTTTTTGTGACTCTCAAGATTGGATGCTGTTTATTGGATTCTTTCAACTGGAGTTATTCTAGTTTTTTTTTCCAGCATAGACTCCAATATCATTTTGGCAGCTGTCCAAAAAGTCTTGGCATACCATGAATGCCAAAGGTGCAATATAGAGATAACAATGGAGGGTTTACCATTTGAATGGGTAATAAAACTGTTAATCCAATACAAATAGTTTAACAGCCTGGAATATGTTGTAGTGGGAGATCACGTGGGAGTTGTGTTCCCTCACCTTTTCTACTCCAATTACTTTTGCAGAGCAAATTCCTTAAAATGGAAATGTGTAACTGTATGGTGAATTACTGGGGCTTCAGGGATCTCAATATGTCCTTAACCCCCAATTAAAGTCAAATTGGATACAGAAAGAAAGATTGAAATAAAAGCAAACTACATCACAAATGCTGGAAATCGGAAGTAAAAACAGAAAGTGCCAGAGAAATTTGTCAGGTCTGGCAGCATCTATGGAAAGAAGGAGGGTTCTGAAGAAGTCATACTGGAATTGAAACATTAACTCTTTCTCTTTGCACAGATTCTGCCAGACCTACTGAGTTTCTCTAGCAATTTCTGTTTTAATATAAGAAAGAAAGAGTGGATTATGAGAAAATATTAAAAAAGCTAAGAAAGCATGTGAAATTAAGTGTTTTACAAAGGCTTGGACTAATTTACCATCTCCAGAAGTGAGACTCGCGATTTGTCCCCTTTCTGGGCCTTTGTTGATGGAGCAAACTGACATGCTAATCAAAAGCAGAGTAACCATTCATCACCCCATGAGCAGAGTCCCTACGCCATGAAATAGCACTCCTAACTTACAGTGCAAATCCAGAATTTGAAGACTAAAGTCAAGACTCTCACTCCACTACAGGAGGGAAGGAATGCTGCACTTTTGGAAGTGCCATCTTGCAGATGAAATGTTAAACCGAGACATCATCTTTCTTCTAAGGTGGATGTAAAAGATCCTGTGGCACTATTTGGAAGAAAAACAAGGGAGTTCTTCTTTGGCTTTCTGGCCATTACTTATCCCTCAATAAACATTAAAAAAATCTGGACTTTATCATATTGTTGCTTGTCGGAGATTGCTTTGTGCAAATTGGCTGCTACATTTCCAACATTGCTCAGACGTTTTGAGGATAGGAGTTGGGATATCATGTTGAGGTTGTGCAGGATGTTTGTGAGGCCTCTTCTGGAGTAATATGTGCAGTTCTGGTTGCCCTGTTATAGGAAGGATATTAAGCTGGAAAGGGTTCAGAAAAGATTTACTAGGATGTTGCTGGGAATAGAGGGCTTGGGTTATAAAGAAAGGCTGGAACCTTTTCACTGGAGCATAGGAGGTTGAGGGGTGACTTTTATAGAGGTTTATAAAATCATGAGGGGCATAGATAAGGTGAATGGCAGGTGTCTTTTCCCTAGGGTGGGGAATTTCAAGACCAGAAGGACACAGTTTTAAGGTGAGAGGAGAAAGATTTAGAAAAAAACATAAGGGACAAATTTTTTACAGAGGCTCGTTCGCGTGTGGAATGAACTTCCTGAGGAAGTGGTGGATGAGGGTACAATTACAACGTTTAAAAGATATTTGGATATATACACGAATAGGAAAGGTTTGGAGGGATGTGGACCAGGACCAGGCAGGTGGTACTAGTTTGGTCTGAGATTATGTTCAGCATGGACTGGTTGGACTGAAGGGTCATACAGCGTCAGGGGAAACAGACTCAAAAAGTCCTTAACTGCTGTAAAGTAACTTAAGATTTCAAGAAGTTAAGAAAGCTGCTTTGTGAATGTAAATCTTTGTTTGTTTAAATCCTAATAAATTTCTTAACAAAAATTCATAACAAGTTTGGTTAGTGTGAGGCCAATGACAGAGCTGTACAAATTGCTAGCAAAATGTGGCAATCTTCAACAAATGACGTATTTATTTCTCACCACAGATTATGCTTTTAAAAAAGAACATAGCGTGTGAAATAATTGAGTTTGCCTGTGGTTCCCCCCACCCTTCCTCAAACTATTGCAGCAATCGAGCACTTCTTACTGTCAAGGCCCACGTGGAAGACTCAGTACTTGGGTGGTACACTATGGAGAGTTACCCCTATGTTCCTCTGGGACTATGGTACTTTACCTACAAATATAGATATTGGACTGCTATGCTTTTTGCAGTGGAAGAAAGGCACAAGTGTCAAATGTTACTTCTTGTCATTTGAAACTTAAGTTTACACCTTCCAGTAGATTTTTCAGTGGAACAATTTCATCACTGTTGAGATGTCAAACAGTTCAGCTGCTCCCAGATCTTTTGTGAGACACTACCTCCCCCCACACAAAGCCATGCTGCCTATTGCTAATAAGTTCATGTATTTCAAATGTGAGTGAATCCTGTTTCTAAGAATCTTCTCCAATAATTTCCCTACCACAGACTTGAGGCTCATGGGCCTGTAATTTCCTGGGTTATCCCTGTTGCCCTTCTTAACGTTGGGACCTTGCTCATGACTAAAGAGGATGCTAAGATTTTGTACAAGGACTCAGCAATTCTACTCCCTCTCCTCCCTCAGTATTCTGGGACAGATCCCATCAGGTCCTGGGGACTTGTCTAATGCTTTTCATACTGCGTTTATGCTTCCTTTTTTCTTTCTAAGCTCACAATTTCTCTTGTTATCCAATGTTCACAGATCTTTACATCCTTATCCATAATTTTCACAAGAACATGCCTGTCCTGAACTCTAATCAACTGGCTTTTAAAAGATTCCAACAGGATAGATGTGGATTTACCCTCAAACAGCTGCCCCCAGTCAACATTCCATTGTTCCTGCCTAATATTGTCATAGTTAGCCTTCCCTAGTTTAGTACTTTCACCTGAGGACTACTCTTATCCTTATCCATAAGTAACTATAAATTTATGAAGTTATGATCACTGTTCCTGAAATACCAGGTCCAGTAATGCCCCTTCCTGAGTTGGACTATTAACATATTGCTTCAAGAAACCATCCTGGATGCACTTACAAATTCCCCTGGAACTAAGGGAATCCCAGTCAATGTAGTGTAACTTAAAATCCTCCACTACAACAATACTTGTTTTTACATTTTTCCATAATCTGTCCACACCAAGTCATGTAGCTCAGAAACAGACCCTTCAGTCCAACCAGTCCATGCCGAACATGATCCCAAACTAAACTAGTCCCACCTGCCTGCTCCTGGCCCATATCCCTCCAAATCTTTCCTATTCATGTCCTTATCTGAATGTCTTTTAAACATTATAATTGTACCCATATCCACTACTTCCTCAGGAAGTTCATTCCACTCGCGAATCACCTTCTGTGTAAAAAATTTGCCCTTTATGTCTTTTTTAAACCTCTCTGCTCACCTTAAAAATGTGCCCCCTAATCTTGAAATCCACCATCCTAAGGAAAAGACACCTGACTGTTGGGAGGACTATAGTACAACCCCACCAAAGTGATTGCACCTTTCCTGTTCCTGAGCTCCACCCATGTGGCCTCACTGATGAGCCCTCCAATGTGTCCTCCCTCAGTACAGCTGTGATATTCTCTCTAATGAACAATGTAACTCCCCCATCTCTTTCACATGCCTCTCTATCTCGCCGACACTTTCCCACATTGTATTCGATCTGCCACTTCTTTGCCTACTCTTCTGCAGCCTCCCCATTTTATTAACATTACCTGGGCCTCCACCCATCTTTGTGTCATCTACAAACTTAGCAACAGTGCCTTCAGTTCCTTCATCCAGAGCTAGTGTAACTAGTAGAAATGTCACAGTGATCAGGGTTGAGGCCGCAATTATTTACTATATATATTAATGACTTGGATGAGGGAAGTGAATGTACTTCTGCCGGGTTTGCAGATGATGCAAAACTAGGGGAAACCAAGGGGAACAGTTCCTTCCTGTTCTGCTGCTCATAATTTTGTACATCTCAAATATGCACCCCTCAGTCTCCTCTTCTCCAAGAAAAACAATCCCAATCTATCCAGTCTCTCTTCATAACTAAAGCTCTCCAGCCCAGGCAACATCCTGATAAATCTCCTCTGCACCATCTCCAGTGTAATCACATGCCTTCTATAATGTGGATTCCAGAACTGTCCACCATACCCTAGCTATGGCCTTACCAATGTTTTATACAGTCCCAGTGTAACTTATTCACTCTTCAGCTCTGCGCCTCAGCTAATAAAGGCTAGGATGACGCTGAATATAATGTGGGAAAATGAGAGATTATGCAATTTTGGCAAGAAGAGCAGAATATTATTCAAGTAGAGAAAGACTGCAGAAAACTGCAGCGTGGAGGGATTTGGGAGTCCTTGTCCATAAAGCAGAACAAAACTAGCATCCAAGTTCAGTTAATATGGAAGTTAAATGGAATGACAGCCTTTATAAGAGTCATACAGCATGGAAACAGACCCTTCGATCCAAACAGTCCACGCCGACCATCATCCCAAACTAAACCAGTCCCATTTGCCTGCTCCCGACCCATATCTCTCAAAAGCTTTCCTGTTCATGTACTCCCCTAATTGTCTTTTAAACATTGTAACTATGCCCGCAACCACCACTTCCTCAGGAAGTTCATTCCACACGTGAAACCACCCTCTGTGTTTAAAAAAAAAAATTGCCCTTCACATCTTTTCTAACTTTCTCTCCTGTCACCTTTTAAAAATGTGCCCCTAGTCTTGAAATCCCCCATCCTAGGGAAAAGACAACTACCATTAATCTTATCTATACCTCTCATTAATTTATAAACACCTATAAGGTCACCTCTCAACCTCCTATGCTCCAATGAAGAAAAGTTCCAGCCTATTTTGCTTTTCTTTATAACTCAAATCTTCCATTCCTGGCAACATGCTGGTAAATCTCTTCTGAACTATCTATAAACACAGGCTTGTAACCAGAAAACATTTGATAAGGTACCTCATTTTAACTATGTCTCTGTGTGCCTGAGAACCATTGATAACAGACAGTGGATATGAGGAAAAAGATGTTGGTGCTAAGATGTAAGCTAAAAATTCCATGTACAGACTCCATTAAAACAGAGGTATTTGAAAATGGAAGAACAGAAAGTGGCATCCAGAAATGAAAATGTCATGATCTGGGCCATTTGATCAGAGCTGATAAGTTACAGAGATCTCTTAAAAGGGAATGGAGTAAATAAAGTGATATCTTGCTAATATATAAGGCACTAGTTGAGTGGCACTTAATAGGTTGAGCTTGTAACTATTATAGTTTAAAGAATGAGAGGTGATCTTTTTGAAACATGTAAATTTTTAGGGGCATGATAGGGTAGATGCAGAGTGTTTGTTTCCCCAGGTGGGAGAGTTTTGGACCAGAAGCGTTATCTCAGAATAAGGGGCTATCCAGTTAGGGCAGAGATGAGGACATTTTTTTCTGTGGGTGAATCTTTGGAATTTTTTACTGTTGAGGCCATTAATTGTCTTCAAGACTGAGATTGATACACTTGTATTCAGTAACAGAATCAGTGTCTATTGGGAAAAGACAGGAAAATAGAGTTGAAGATGATCAGATCAGCCACGATCCCACTGAATGGTAGAGTAGACACAATGGGCCAAATGGCCTATTTCTGCTTTTATGATCTTTATTTTCTTTTCTGTAGAAATGTGCCTTCTGTTGTGTACACTAATTTGTATGATTATACAAATTGTGATCTGATGGCTGCCATTCCCAATTTGATTTACGTAAAGTTCAACTAGAAAGATTCATGTGGTTCCATGTACTGTCTTCTCATACTTGTTGGCTCAGCATATGGTTAAATTTTTACTCATTGTGGTATTAAAAAGAAACTTTCCTCTAATTAATATTGAGCAATAGTGTTCAAAATTGTATGTTAGTCACTTTGAAATCTTACTATTTTCATTCATGCTTTGATTTTAGCAATATGCCCCATCCGTGTTTGAGAAGTATGTGAAAGATATCACAGTTAGAAACAAGAAGTTTACTTTGACTCTTTATGACACTGCAGGTAAGACCCTTTCATATATTTCAGCTTCGGGAACCTTTTATTTAAAGTACTACATCACAAGGTTGAGCCCTAAGAACAAGAAAAGTCCTAGAATTATTTCTGAGCTTGAATTGGTGACTTCAACCACAGCAGTAATAGGGAAACTTCTGTTGACACCAGTCAAAATCAGGGCTGACACTCTACTGCAGTTCTGAGGCCATAGTTTACTGAAATCTTTAAGTGAGACATGACATCTGCCCTCTCAGGTGGATGCAAAAGATTCCCTGGCAAAAGATAGTGGGTAAGTTATTCTCAATGTCCAGTCAACGTTTATCCCTCCATCAACATCCCAAAAACATATTACGTTATCGTGTCACACGACAGTATTTAAGAGCTTGCTGTGTGTGAATGGCTGCCATGTTTCCTGCATAAGAACAGTGACTACAATTCAAAAGGACTTCATTAGCTGCAATGTGTTTTGGGATATCCATTATCAGCCTTTGATATTGAGAATTAATTTGGTCGTCTGTGTTTTCAAGTATTTCCTTGTTCTAGTCACTTGGAAGCCAGGAAAGAGGATAGGTTCATGATCGTAACAGCTAACCAGCCAATTATCCAATTCTGATAAAAGCATTGTTATTACTACTGTAAAGACTGTTGAATTAGATTTAACCCCTAGCACATTACCACGTGCCTAATAGATTCTAACAATTTCTCTCATTATATGTCAGGCTACCTGGTCTACAGTTCCTTCTTTTCTCTTCCTTTTTCTAAGTGAGTTTACGTTTTCTGTCTTCCAATCTGCATGGATTGTTCTAAAGTTTAGGGAATTCTGGAAGATCCAGACCAATGCTGCTATCTTTGGTGAAGCTGAGGATATAAGATTGATGTACTGTTCAATGGTTCGTTTGTTCTAAATTTGATTATTTGAGTCTGTCTACTATTGATGCTCACTGTGCTTGATTGCTTGGAATTTGATGGTTCAGTTGTGAAAATGGGAATTCTTTGACACAAATATTTAGCATGTGCTAATGTTGTCTTACTTTAATAACCAAAAATTACATTGAATGCTCTTTGTTTACATAGACAATCCAGTTTTTCTGTATATTAGCTACTATATTTTTAAGTACCTTGTTATTTAGAAAAAGAACTGTAGCAAATTCATATTCCTTTCTCGGCTGTGGATCCAGGGATTTATTAGCACTTGAAAATTTGCTTCACGAAGAGCAATTAACCTTACAATCTACCTCTTCTGAATTAAATTTGAAGGGATGGACCAGATTAAATGGGCTGCATCTAAACAATAGTGTAATAATTGGGAACTGCAGGTTATAAAATGAAAGCAAAAATGCTAAAGCGTCTTTTTATTGGGGTGATATCGGTGTTGCACCTGAACCTTTTATTTTAAATGTTAGCTTGTAACTTGGGAGTGTCTGACATTTTACAAAGCCATTTCCTGTCTGTATTGCACTGAGTTTGATTAACCACAAGAAGAAACTGACTAAATGTTATCATTTTGAAGGTGTATGTTATAATCAACTAAATTTTCTTGGCCAGTAGGTGAAGTGCTAATCCATTTCAGACAGATTCACAGGTATTTAGCTCCATTCTGCAGGCAGGTTTAACTGCTTTGGGTCATCTTAATTCCCTCGACTTCAACCAGTGATGAGAATTGTTGGACACAGTAAATAAATGTCTTTATTCCTAGAAAGAGATTCAGTAATCTGATTAATTTAGTGTATTGACCTGTAACAAATTACAGAGGTCCACATTGGAGATACATAGGACATCTGGCAAGTAGCTGGGAATAATGTTTTGAGAGCTCTGTCTACAGAGGAACATAAGAACTAGGAGTGGGAGTAGGCAATTCAGCCATTCGCCGTTAACATGATCAATGGCTGATCTTGTCCTGGTCCCAACTCCACTTGCCTGTCTGCTCCCTTTATCCTGCTTTTCATCAGAAACATGTCTATTTCTTTCTTTAATCTGTTGATTGATTCTGCCTCCACTGCACTCTGGTGAAATGAGTGCCACAGATTCACAACCCTCTGAGAGAAGTAGTTTCTCCTCTTCTCAGTTTTGAAACTACTTCCCCTTGCTCTATATCTGTGACCTCTTGTTCGAGATTGTCGCACAAGGGGGTCATCTGTCCAACGTTCACCAACCTCAGTCAGATCCTCCCTCATTCTTCTGAACTGCAGTGAATACAAGCCATAACATTTTGGAAAAACCAATGGACTCAATATCAGATTGTATTGCTCCTGTACAGAGAGTGCCTTAAACAGACAGAATCTGCAGTTGAATCTCACCTTTCACAATCTCTGGATGTGGAAGTTCCTTAGTCAGTGGAGTACCTCAGAACTGTAAGGCAGGACAAATTCCTGTCAATGAGATGGTAAGCCTGGAGGGAGGAAGGCAACTTAAGTGGGTTGGTGACAACTCAACAACCCACCATTTTCCCATCTTCCCTCCCCACCGAGCTAAGGGCTGGTTGGGAAGACCTGAATTGACCTTCTTCCTCTGCTGCTAATTGAGGCCCTTAAGTGGTCAATTAATGATCAGTTAAGGGCATATTCTTCTCTAGGCTGCAATGATCACAATTCATCTCACCTTGAATTGGGGAGAGAACCTACTACTAACCTGGCCTGCAAGGTTCACTTGTGCCCTTGATAAAAACAAGAGTTTTTGGGACAAACAAGAGTTGGCCTAATTAACTGGTAAAACATTGGGGGCAGCCTGTTAACTGGGGAGTCAGTGGTATTTCAATTTACATTCACATTCAAGGGACCAAACATAGTGAGGGTGGGGGGTTGTCCGTTGAAAGCCACACCTCTGATCTTGCCCGCAAGGTCCTGCCATTTGTCCTTGCCAGCTGGGGACCCTGCTTGTGGTTCTGCCAGCAGGATGTCACACAAGATTCAGGCTATAATGCCAGACCATTGAATACAGTTTCCTAATCATTGAGGACTTTCAAAAGGCCCGCATGGAATGTAGTGTAGTAAGTATTTTATGTTCACTCATTCTGCAGAAATTTTTCTCTTGTTCAGAAACATGTGAAACACATTACACAAACAATCAAGAATGTAGGACACCTCTTAAAATACTGTAAGCTTAGACTGCTAACCCACAGCTTCTTTCCCTTTAACAACTAAATTACAAGACTCTGTTTCCTCATTGTTGAGTGAATGTGCTGAATTTTACCTAGGGCACTGCTGAACTTTGCAGACCAGATTAGTTGTAGGTTCTCTCCCTGGTTCAAGTTGAGATGAGCTGATCTAGGTTTGTAAACTGGTCTGGGACATTGTATCTTGGTTAGGAAAAGACTACTTGTATTGCTGCTTATAAATTTCCAAAGGAATCTGACCATGTGGTCCATTGTATCAGTACCAACTCTTATGTTGGATCAATCCACAACTGATCTCACTATCCTGCACTCTCCATTGTCTCTATTTCTGTCTGCTTCACTTTTCCATTAACAGACTGTAATCACTTAATGTGGCAAACCATTCTTTAAAAAAATTCTGCATAAAATATATGCAGGGGGAGGAGCACGGTGGCTCAGTGGTTAGCACTGCTGGCTCACAGCACCAGGGACGTGGATTCGATTCCAGCCTTGGGCGACTGTCTGTGTCGAGTTGGCACATTCTCCCAGTGTCTGTGTGGGTTTCTTCCGGGTGCTCCGGTTTCCTCCCACAGTCCAAAGTTGTGCAGGTTAGATGGGTTGGCCATGTTACACTGCCCACAGTATCCAGGGATGTGCAGGCTAGGTGGATTAGCTGTAGGAATGCAGGGTTACAGGGGGAGGGTAGAGGGGCTGGTTGCTCTTCAAACTGTCAGAGGCAACAGCCGAGAGATATTATCACTGGACTGTTAATCCAGAGACCCAAGTAATGTTCTGGAGACCTGAGTTCAAATCCTGTCATGGCAGCTGGTGAAATTTGAATTCAATAAATATCTGGAGTTAAGAATCGAATAGAGTAATACAGCATGCAAACAGGCCCTTTGGCCTAAACTGGTCCACGCTGACCATGGTGCCCACTCAGCTAATTCCAATTGCCCGCATTTGGTCCATATCCCTCTTAAACCCTTCCCATCCATGTACCTATCCAAATGTTTTTTAAATATTGCTATTGTACCTGCCTCAACCTGACAGCCTATTCCATATACGCACCAATCTCTGTGTGAAGAAGCTGCTCCTCAGGTCCTTCTTAAATCTTTCCCCTCTCACCTTAAATGTATGCCGTCTAGTTTTCAATTCCCCATCCCTGGGAAACAGACTATATGCATTCATCCTATCTATGCCCCTCATGATTTTATACAACTCAATAATATGATGACCATGAATCCATTGCCGATTGTCCGAAAAACCCATCTGGTTCACTAATGCCCTTTAGGGAAGGAAACTGCCATCCTTACCTGGTCGGGGCTACACGTGACTCCAGACCCACAGCAATGTGGTTGAATCATAACTGCCCGATGGGCAATAAACACTGGCCTAGCCATCAACGCCCTTATCCTGTGAATGAATAAAAGACATTTGATGGGCCAAATGGCCTGCTTCCATTCTGTTGGGATTCTATGATTATATGATGTTTCAGTCACAATTTTAAACTGACAACTTTGTGACTGACTCCCCAAACTCAGGAAGTGGTCTTACTTTACCAAAGCACATTTTATAATTCTAAAATGTATTAAATTTTCTTAGCTTTGTCTGCTCTATGGGAATACTTCCAGTATCTGTAACCTCTCCACTAAACTAATGTTTGTAATCCCCCGTATTATGCTGTTGTGTGTCCTCCATGGTTTTAGAATACATTTTTAGGATGCAACAATCGATTCTACACAAAGTAATTTAATTGTGGGCTAACCATTGTAGTCTACAAATTCATAATCTGCACCTATAGCTGAAATGGATTTCTTCACAGCGATAACAGTTGCTTAATACAGACAGAACACAATCATTTTATAATGCATGTTTGATGCTGGTACTGAGGCAAGATCTTTCTTCTGATGGCCTTAAA